GGATACAAACTAAGCAGGACAAGCAAAAAAAAAAAAAAAAAGCAGTCTTCAAAATGCCACCATCTTTATATATAGCTCAAAACATTCACTCAAACCATCAATTTATCAGAATAAGCAGCTTATTGGGTTTGCATTTGCAAATACTCTATGATATCTCCATGAAAAGGATGCAGCACTCTGGGGAAAGGAATGGGAATAGAACAATGTTGTAGATGCAACCTCATTGTATGCAGAAATAGTCAACCAGTGGTGGGGTTCAAATAATTTAACACCTGGTTCTCTGCCCTAATGATTTCTTCCAACAACCAGTTCACCAAACTGCTCAGAAAGTTAAGAACCTGTTCTCTTGAAGTGGTGCAAACTGACTGAATCCTACCACTGTGGTCAACGATATGATAGCATTAAATAATGATTAGATTATAATATGCCTCACAGAGATTCTATAGTGTTTTTTGGGGTCTGGGAGTGTTTGCTTTCAGATAGGATATAGTTGATCACAGGCTTCTTGTAGATCTTGGTAGTTGCCATACTCACAGGAATATAATTTGGGAGCCATTCAGCAATGCTTAGCTGTCCAATCTCTGTCGAAATTTTCTTCCTGTGGCCTGGTTTGGTTACCCCAATTGCTGTGAGATCCTGGAACAAAAGAGCCCAGGTACATATCTACCACAAACCAAATGCATGTAATATAATCTACAATGGAGAACTAAGCATCTATGCAATGTGTGTACAGCAGTGTCTCTTTTGGGAAGATGGAGAGGTTCTTATACACCCCAAATAATAATTGCATGGAGAAACTAAAAGACACTTTCCCACCTTTGCCTGGTCTTCTAATTTATTTTTTACCTCTGGAGTCATGCGGCTGATTGTTGGCACATCATAACCTGCATTCAGGAAGTTGGCTGTATAACACTCCAGCTGGAAATTGCTTAGCCAATTGTAAATGGCTGCAGCATCCTGCAAAAAAAGAGAAAAGAAAAGTCCCTTTTGAAAAAAGACCACAATGATCTTTATATCCCTATTGCCCTTTGGTTATTTTACCAAAATATTAATAGTGTGCTTGAGCATGTATATTAAAACAAAACAAAACAAGAACAGTCAAGCAGCAAGGCCACCTATCTCCAAATGGGTAAGGATGATGGGAGTTTTAGTTGAAAACACAAGAGGACATTAGGTTACTTATTTTGGTTGTAATTTAAGCCCCACTTTTTCTGAGTGATGAGCCACACATTAAGCTCTGGGAGGGGTGTCTATTTGAAAGTAGCAGATTGTCAGCACTTATACCGCCTTGGAGTTAATGTGAAGCTTTGCCATTCATTGGCATGCTTGGCATGGATTTATTTCATGGATGTAATAAAAATTTCTCTTGATAAAGTGAAAAAATATGAACTAATTGTTATTCTTTGGAAAGTCTTTGTAAATGGTCTTCAAGTGCACTTTACAAATCAAAAGCAGAGTACAGAAAGTGCCATTTAATAGTTTCAAATGTACTGATTTAGTTCCAGCTATTAATAATATGGTTTCTTGGAAAGATCTCGGGAAATCTAAGGAGTAATTTTATTATGTAATTCCTTTGTTTACCACTGCAGTCAATATAAATGTTAATCGCAACGTTTTCTTCGGAAGAGTGATCTCTGCCATTGTACAACTCTTTATAGTAGCCATAGAAACATCTGCTGCCCTT